TCGCCAATCTCGCTAGAATGGGGAAGAAAATGCTAGGTAGATGTACCGCGCTTGCTGAACAGGGGCTGACAACCTTCTTCGAAAAACATCACTGATCGGGCGGCTCGGGCACTGCGATCGCAAGCAACCCGATCAGATCCAACCCGATCAGATAAGTCGCAATCAAACTCGATTGGGCCCACTGTCATAATGATATTATTGTCTAGCCTGCAGTGGGGTACTCTATAGCGAGTACAACCCAATTAGGGTTTCCTATATGTATGCCAACTGCTGCTAGTGCAAACACTCCTTTCTTCACTTCTCTTTCTTACTGACTAGTTCTGACATGGTATCAGAGCAGGTCGACCCTCCTGGGTCGATCCTGTGGGTGGGCCCCACCCGATGCTTCCGCTGCTCTACTGCTGTCGCGCGCCCCGGGCGCGCGACCCTTTCTTCCTGCCGCGCACTCGGAGCGCGCGGCGTTTTTCATCCCGCCGTGCGCTCGGGGCGTGCGGCGGTTTTCTGCCCGCCGTGCGCCCCGAGGCGCGTCGGCGGTTTCCTGCTTCGCGCGGCGGTTTTCTGCCCGTCGTGGCGCCCCCGGGGACCTGCACACTGCCCCCCGTCGCCCGTCGCGGCGCCCTGGGGGCCAGCGCGTCGCCCTCCTCCCGTCGCCTCGTCGCGGCGCCTTGGGGGCCCGCGCGCCGGCCCCTCCCGTCGCCTCGTCGCGGCGCCTTGGGGGCCCGCGCGTCGCCCCCTCCCGTCGCCTCGTCGCGGCGCCTTGGGGGCCCGCGCGCCGCCCCCTCCCGTCGCCTCGTCGCGGCGCCTTGGGGGCGCGCGGCCCCTCCCGTCGCCCGTCGAGCCGCCCTCGGGGGCCCGTGCGCGACCCCCCTCCCGTCACCCGCCGTGGCGCCCTCGGGGGGCCCGCGCCCTGCTCCTTCGTGGCGCCCAGGAGACCCCCTCGCCGCCTCCCTTTCCCTCCGTGAACTGCCCCTGCTGAATCCCGCGCTCCTGCCTGCGTAAGGGTTTGGGGGTGGTGGGCATGGGGGTGAACGGTATGGGTAACCTGCAGCTCCTCCTCCTCCTCCGTCTCCCACTGCTGCAGCTGCCGCTGAGGGGGGTGGGTGTGTGGGAGCCGAGGGTTTAGGGTTTAAGGGGGGTGTCGTGGGAGTGGAGCTAGGGGTGCAGTAGGGGGTGTGTGAAAGGGGTGTGGGACAGTCGGGGGAGGTTGCGTGGAGGCTGCCGTCGTGTCGCCTGCAGCGCCAGTAGTCCGGAGCCGTCGTGCTCTCGGTAGCCCAACGAGCCTGCTGTGCCTGTCGCCCGTGGGTCCGTTGCTCGTGCCGCTCGTCGTAGCCGCGGAGCCAGTTACTCCTGTAGTCCGGAGCCGTCGTGCTCTCGGTAGCCACTGTGTGCGCGCTCCTGTTGCCTGTGTGTCTTAAGCTTCAGCCGTCGTCTCCCATCTTCTCTCCCCTCACAATTCCTCCTCCTCACTTGCCCTCTGTGATCGCCTCTAGCTTTGCTTATAATTGTGAACTATTGCTATGCCTGCTCATTGTGCTGATTACACCCCACTTTGGCTATGCGGGTGTGTCAGAATGATATTATTGTCTAGCCTGCAGTGGGGTACTCTATAGCGAGTACAACCCAATTAGGGTTTCCTATATGTATGCCAACTGCTGCAAGCGCAAACACTCCTTTCTTCATTTCTCTTTCTCACTGACTAGTTCTGACACCCACGTCCTTAGGGGGAGGAGCAGCAGATGTTTTTCGCCTCCGCGGGGGAGTTTTCGGAGAATCAGGACAAAAGCCTCGGCTAGTTACGACAAGACTGCCGGTGGTACTGACGTCACACGATCCTGGGGACGGGTGCGATGGGTTCAAGTGAAGTGAATTCTCGGTAGTTACTCGAACCGACCTTCTCGCCGATCCTCGTCACCACGCTTAAACGACATCGCAAAATCGACGCGACATTTTGACGCCGAGCAAACGGGGGTCGAGACTAGGCTTGCTCGTGTGCGGCAAATGAGAAGTTTGAGTTCGAAGTGTGGCAGGTGTGGAGATTGGGTGCAGCAAGGCACACAGCGGCGTAGCAGCAGCGCACTGTAGAGGTTGAGTGAGAGCGGGAAAGAGGGAAAGACAACGCAGTCACATGCAGCAGAGCAGAGGTGAGCGGTTGGGTTGGGGGTGTCGTTTGCTTACATGCAGCAGCAGCGCGTTGTCGAGGTTGAGCCAAAAGGCGAGGGATAAGGGAGTGGGGGAGGGGAGTGGGGAGATGGCAGAGCACAGCAGAGTGGGGTTGGGTTGGGGGTGTCGTTGGCTTAAGGGCAGGGCAGCATTGAGGTTGGGGTGGGGTGTTGAATGTCTCACGTGCAGCAGCAGCGCGTTGTAGAGGTTGAGCCAGAAGGCGAGCTTCTCGTCCTCGGAGAGGTATGAGGGGTCCAGATCCGATAGCTGCTCCGCTAGCATCCTGGATTGAGTGCGGCGAGGCCGGGGGACGCAGGGTTAGGGAGTGGGCATGGTGAGGGAGTGGGCATGGCATGACATGATCAGGATCAGGGGGGCCGATCCCATATCTGCGCAGCTAGCATCCAGAGGTGTGGTGTGGACGCAAGGGGAGCGGGATGGGGAGGAGAAGAACAGGGAATAGGCGGGGGGAGGCGGAACGGAAGGGGAGCAGGAAAGGGGAGGAGAAGGGCAGAAGGGTGGCAGGGGGAGCAGCAGATTGGAGCATAGGGAGCACGGGGAGTGGTGGGAGAGGAAGGGGAGGAGAGAGAAGTAAGCAAGACACGCAATCTGCAGCGAGGAAGGAGAGGGGAGCAGCAGGCAGCCACCTGTATTTATCAGCAACGGCAGAGAGAGAAGATATCCATGTTGCAGTACTCATCATCGCTGGTCACAGCATGCACGGGCAAGCATGGGCTTGCAAAACCAGCACCATAATTCCCAAAGGGCCACACGGGCTCCCACGCACCCACCCACCCACCGGTAGCGGCAGAGAGAGAAGATATCCACGTTGCTGTATTTATCATCGCTGGGCACAGACGTGACCTCCATGGCCGCCCCATACGCCCCAACAGGCGGGCAGGGGTGGAACTCCAGCACCCCATACGGGTCCACAAACCCCTCCACTGCCAGTGCCGCGCTCCCCACCGCTATGCCCCCCCCCATGGGGGCCGATGGCGCGGCAGGGAACGGGGAGGAAGACGGAGGGGTCGAATTGGGTGCTGATGGTGTGATCCCTGCTGCTGGCGTGGTAATGGGGTTGACTGTATGGAGGACAGGGGTGGAGGAGGTTCGAGTGATGGCGCGGGAAGGGCGGTCAGTGCTTGCATGTGAAGCGGAAGGGTCTGCTGAACTGAACAGAGCACCAGCCGCACCTGCAGCATCACCAGCACCAACGCCCCCACCACCGGCGCCACCAGCACCAGAAGTAGCACCACCATTTCCATTGCTGCTGCTTCTCAAGCTGCCACTGCTGCCAAACCCACTCCCACTCCCATAGCTATTGCTCCTCGTGGCAGGATACTGCAAGCCAGCGGCCACAGCCCCACTCCCAGCTATCCCCCCCAGCTCCCCCATCTGCTCACTCCCACTCCCCCCCACCTCCCCACCGCCTGCCCCCCACGCTCCTCCCCCTCCCGCCCCCCCCCCTGCGCCCTTGTCCGCGTTCTGGAAGACAGCAAGGGAGGCACGCAGCCAGGCGGTGCGGGGAGTGGTAGGGACTGCTGCTGACCCCGATGCCCTTCGCGACCGCGACCCTGCCTCGCCCTTGCGGATGCTGGAGTAGGAGGAGGAGGGCAGGGAGGAGACGGAGGCGAGGGAGGAAGAAGAGGGGAGGGAGGAGAAGGAGGAGGGCGAGGAGGTGACAGAAGGAGAGGTGGTGACCAATGAGCCTGCAGCAGCAGCAGCTGCAGCAGCTGCTGTTGACGATGCTGAAGGGGTTGTGGCGTTGCTACCAGGAGATAGAGGGCTGGGCTGCTGGTACTGGTACTGCTGCTGCTGGGAGTGATACTGTGGGCTCCCAGCCCCTCCCGCCTCCCCCCCCTGACTCGACCCTGAACCAGACGCACTGATTGGCTGCGGGGACAGGCAGATACCACCTGCACCAGATTCACCCCCCCCTGCTCCCCCCGGCCCCACGCTCCCCAGCGCAGCCGCCACCACCTCCCACGGATCCTCCGACTTTTTCCTCGTCCTCGTCCCGCCGCCCGCCTTCTTGCCGCCCGGGCTGCTACGGGACGAAACCGCCAGCACCTCAAGAGCCGTCGGATTGAGGATCTTCTCGATCTTTTCATCTGTAGCCACACGTTTCTGCTCGGAGGCCAGCAGGGCGGCGGCCCTGCGGCCTTCCCCGGCACCCCAGAGGGCGGGGTAGGCGTGGGCGAGGTAAATGGCGCCTATGGATCGCAGCATCTCCTCTGAGAGCTCGCAGGGCCGCAGGCGCAGGTCCTCTAGCTCGAGCGTGAGTGGCGTTGAGGACGAGGAGGTGGTGTTGCGGGAGGGAGTGCGGGTCTGTGGGGGCAGAGGGAGAGGGGGGAAGAGGGGGAGAGAACGAGGGAGATGAGAGGAAGAGGGAAAGGCAGAGGGAGAGGGAGAGGGAGAGGGAGAGGTAGAGGGAGAGGGAGAGGGAGAGGGAGAGGGAGGGTAAATGAAGGTGGAGAGGGAAACAAAGAGGCAGGGAGAGAAGCAGGGGGGTGGACAGGGAGAGGGACAGCGAGAGGGATGGTGGTTGCTGGCTTGAGAAGACAAACTTATTGGAGATGGAAGGAACTTTGTCTGTCCTTTGTTTTGTTTCTCAACCCCCAGAGCGAAGTGAACAAAAAGCAGCGAGAAGCACACCCACCTTGTTGCGAGCAAGCTTCTGCGATATGGATTTGGCCAACGCCTTCCTTAAGCCACTCGACTTCATGCCACCAGCAGCAGCACCCCCACCACCACCGCCACCAGCAGCAGCCGCGCCCCCGACAGCCAAAGACCCAGCACCAGAGGCAGCACCAGAGGCGCCATAGCTGGAGGCAGGGTCGTCAGCAATGGAGACTGAGCGAGGGCGTGGGGGCATGTCGGAGATACTGCGAGCGCTCCTGTGCCCTGCTGCCGCCCCCCTCGCCACCTCTGCTGACCGCGTCCGAGTCACTGATGGTGGCAGGCCTGCTTCCCCCCCTCCTGCTGCACCTCCCCCTCCCCCTCCTCCTCCTCCTCCTGTTGCTGCTCCTGTTGCGGCTGGTGCGGCTGCTGATGGTGGTGAAGCAGACGCAGATTGGTTACTGCCAGGGTCGGCAGCGCTGCTGTCCTTCCCTGCCTGAAAGCCCACAAACAAGGCTGGGGCGGATTCCACGCTTGCCAGCTCTCCTGCACTTGCCTCTGCTGCACCCTCTGCTGCACCCCCTGCTGCTGCCACTGCTGCTGCAGCTATGCCTGTGCTGGCGCCCTCACCCTCCACCTCCCACTGCTGATCTCCCAACTCGGCAGCAGGAGGAGGAGCAGAAGCGCTTATAGAGTCGACCCAATCATCAGAGACAGCGGGAACAGAATTCCAGCGACTGAGAGAGTCCACTGATGCCACAGACAGCTTGCTGGCATGCATGCCCCCCGCCCCTCCATCCCCTGTCTCACCCTCCTCCTCGAATTCCTCAGCAAAAGTGGCATCTGAACCGAATCCATGCGCCTTCTCTCTCCTGCCTCTAAACCCGCCGCTCCCAGCACCAGCAGCACTGCCAGCCCCACCAGTGGTGCCGCCCCCAGCCCGACCAGCAGCACCAGCACCAGCAGCAGCGCCAGCCTTATCGCTCTTGCGCGATTTCGACCGTAGGATCTTGTCCTTGGATCGGCGCCACCTGTCCCTGCGCTTATCCGCCATCTCAGCCTCACTCGATGACACCACCGACTCTAAAATGTCCCCGAGAGACCTCTCCCTTGCCCCGCCCCACTCCCTCCCTCCACTCCCACTCTCTCCTCCTCCTCCTCCTCCTCCCCCTCCTCCTGCAGCCATCCCCCCTCTACCCGCCCGTGTGCGCCTGCGCACATCGGACCCGGATCCTCCCTGGCTCTCATAATCCATGAATGCTTCTAAGTCCTCTTCCCCCACAAGCTCTCCCAGTGAACCTGCCGATCCCCACGAACCACCCCTGCTGCCCCCGCCTCCTCCCCCTTCCCCCCTGCCCCCACTGCCGCTGCGAGATCTCTCCCTAGACCTGACTGTCTTAAGCAGCCCAGCTACCGGACCAGCAGCCCCGGCCGAGCCTCGCTCGAGGAAGTCAGATCCGGCAGAGCGGGTTCGGGCAATAGCACTGGGGATTGGCTCCATTGATGGGTAGGACCCTGCTGCCCCCCCTGCTCCTGCTCCTGCTGCTATTGCTGGCACTGACGCAGCTGCAGCTGCAGCAGGGGGCCGATCACCCCCCAGACCAGCAACGCTGCTACTGGTTGGGGCAGAACTGGGAATGAATGAGGCAGCAGCAGTGTTAAGCGCGGAACTGGGGGAGGAGGCGAACTTGCTGATAGGCGGGCGGGGGCGCGGGGCGGGACGGGGGCGGTCGGGGCTGCGGCTTGCACAGAGCATGCTCGGGGTGAGACCAGGGAGCTGAGCGGTTGGATGGGGTCGGGATGGGCGGAGAAGGGAATAATAGGGGTGGAGGAAGAACGAAGGGACGTGGAGGGATGGAAGGAACAGTGGCAGTGATTTCAACGGTGGAACAAAAGCAAGGGTTTGTGGATGGGGATGCTAGAGAGGCATGACGGCAGTTGCCTTTGCATTGAAGAAACTAAGAAACTAGCATCAGGGAACAGAAGAGGGAAAGGGCACTAGAAGGAAGGCCCGATCAATCTGGGCCATTGGATCGAATCAAGGACTCACCTGGGCCATGGGATCCATAGTTGAGTCTTCTGATCGAGCAGGAGACGCAGTCAAGGACGAGTCCCCCAGATGACTCTCGTGAGGCTGCAGTATCCCATCCGGGTCCAGCAATCTAGACATCACAGGCAGCACCGTTTGCCCCCTCGCTGCCCTCCTCCCCCTCCCCCCTTCCTCCGCCTCGTCCGAACCACTCTTCCGCACCTCCCGTTCGTGCATGCTTCCCGAGCCTCCCGCCAGGCCCGGGGACGCCCCAGACCTGAGTGACTTGATTGGCGCCGTGGCTGACCGCCGAACCAGCGCCTGCTGCTTCTGCTGCTGCTGCTGCGGATCCTGCAGACGCATTTCCGAGCCTCCGAGCCCCATGAGACGAGCGTACTCCTCGTCCTCCTCACTCCCCACCGACCCATCGTCATCCTCATCACCATCAAAAGCATTGTCATGAGAACTGTCACGCGCATGAGCATACCCCACGCCTGCCGTTCCACCTGCTCCTGCCTGCGAAAGCTTGCTAGCCGCAACCCCATGGTGGGTGAACGAGCGAGGAACGATGGGCGGCGAGTGTGACGCCATGGGCGGCGAGCCGCTCCCGGCGTGCTCAAGGGCGGCATGCCCCGGACTGTAGCGCCCAGGGCTGCCGCCCAGACGGCTGGGTTCAAACCCATCCTCTGAGTGCCTGCTGCGGTGGCGACGCAGACTGCGAGTTCGAACCCGTTCAGACACCCCCAGAGGCAAACCCGCTCTTGCACCCCCCACACCAGCAACAGGACTACCTCCCCCAGAAGAACCCTCCCCCTCGCCCTCAAACCCTGACCCCAGGTCCGTGTGTCCGTCCCTGCTGCCCCCTGGAAAGCCAGGGGAGTTGGTACTGTGAGAGCGAGCCACTCTCCTGCTGGCGCTGCTGCTGCTCCGCCTACCACTGCCCATCCCTCTAGACCCCACTGTAATACTGGCTTCTCCGTTGTGCCTCCCGCCATGCGCACTCCCATGTCGGCCCCTCTCCCTCTCCCCCTCCCCTTCATACTCATCCTCATCCTCCCCATCCCCATACCCTGGTAAGCCTGTGGGTAATCCTTCCCATAACCCCCCTCCACCCCCCTCACCCTCCCCAAATTCCCCTCCCTCCTCTCCACTCCCCCCAAAACCCCCCTCTCCTGCGCCTATCCCCCACTCCCCGCCCTGCACCACCTGCTCCCGCCGGCTCCTCCTCCCGCTCCCCCACAACCCCCCTTCCCCACCAGCAGCAGCGCCACCGAAGCCCATACCAGCAGCGCCAGTGCCAGCCAGGGGGGTGAAGCCGGAGCCCTGGTTGATGTAGCAGGCGGTGAGGGTTTCCAGCAGGTCCACAGAGGACGCCTCGAGAAGGAAGCTGTTGGGGCCGCTGGCCTCCAGGTCGGCCAGGGCGAGGCGCACAAAGCTCTCGACGTGCTCGTTCTCCTCCCTCTCCATCTGCAGCAGGTCCTTTAGCACCTCCGTCTGTGCCATCAGCTGCAGCCTGCCGTGGTGCCGCGAGGGCAAGAAGGGTGGGAGAAGAGGGGTGGGGGAAAAGGGAGAAGAGGGGACACCCGTCTAAACCACCTCACGAGATGCATTTGCCGCATCATCACCCACAGGTGTCTTGACGGCGCCCAACCAGTCCACTTTCGAATCTACAGATTGTTCAAGTCAAGTCAACTTAGTTCAGAGAGTTGGTGCTCACAGACAAGTGTGTTGGTTGGCGGCTCCCAGGTGGAATTGCCACTGCCTGTGCATGGCCTTGTCTTGTCCGCGTCCAATACACACAATCTCGAGCCTACGATCTCTTCAAGTCAAAGGCAAGGCAACTCAGAAAGCAACTCTCTGCTGGAACTGCATGCGGAGGCTTTTGCAGCCTAAGTTCACCTGCTGCACTGCAGTACCCTCAGCAGCAGAGCAGCACCCACTGCACGGCACGGCACAGGTGCGTTGCCTTGGCGACTGACTCACAGGTGGAACTGCGTGCTATGCATGGCCTTGACGGCGTCGAACGAGTCCACCTGCCAGTGCACGTGCTCCAGAGCCCGCTCCACGTTGCACCGCTCCACACTCAGATCCAGCAGCACCCGCCGCATCGACCGCAGCTCGCCGCCCATATGCGTCACCTCGCGGTGCAACTGCCTCTCCTCCTTGTCCTCTAGCTCCTGGGAGAGTGCGAGGAGGGAGGAAGGTGGGGAACGAATGTGTTCTATATGCGTCACCTCGCGGTGCAGGTGCCGCTTCCGCTCCTCCTTGACTTGTACCTCCTGCTGGTGTGGTGGGGGGTATCGTATGTGTGGGGAGAAGGGTTGCAGGTACGCTGCATCGACCGCAGCTCACCACCCATATGCGTCACCTCACGGTGCACCTGTCTCTCCTCCTTGTCCTCTAGCTCCTGGAGGTGTGGTGGGTGGGGGAAGGGGGAAGGGGAGGAGAGAAGGGTTATAGGTGTGAGAAGGTTACACGAGTCACTTCGTGGTGCAGCTGCCGCTCTTCCTTGTCCTCTAGCTCCTGGGAGAGTGCGAGGAGGGAGGAAGGTAATACCGTAATGGTAGGGGGAAGAATGTGCGTTCCACACACATGTCACCTCCCCGTGCTGCTGCCGCTCCTCCTTGTCCTCTCCTGGGGCTGGGGGTGTACAATACGAGGGCGTGTGTGAGTGAAAGAGGTTACATGCAACACTCCGCATACAGATGCGCCAGATACTCGGACGTTTCCTCAACAGAGAGCTCAAGCAATTCCTATCCCGTAGCAGTGAGCTTAAGCGAGTCAATTCTAGCCGCAATGAGCAATCACCTGCACCGCACCGCACCCAGCCCAGCTACCCACCTGCACTGGCAGCTGCGGCATGTCGCCCCCAGCAATGGCAATCACGTCTGCCAGCTTCTCCTGCCGAGCCACCTCCCGAGCCATGTCCTCCTCTAGCTGGAGCAGCTGGAGGAGAGCAAGCAGGGGAGGTGAAGAAAGGCGAACCAAGCAACGAAGCACACGAGTTTTTAGCAATTTCAGACTTCTCCTGCCGAGCCAGCTGTTGAGCCATGTTCTCCTGTAGCTGGAGCAGCTGGGGGAGAAGAGGGGGGGGGGGGGGGGGGGGGAGGTGAAGGAACACGAAACAAGGGGGGACGTAGATAGCTTAATAGTCAACTCACAGTCTCCTGTCAGAAAAAAACTGAAATCTCAACCATTCCCTGGTTACTCCACGATTTTCCACATTCAGCCACCATTTTCCGAACCATCAATGCAGCCACCATCCCACGCGATCAATCACCCCAACCCCAACCTAACCATCCCTTCAAAAAATACCCCACCATCCCATTTGATCAAGTCCTCCCACTCCCACATGATCCAACGGCGCAACCCTCCCTCACCTCGGAATCCAGCAGGTGGGTCATCGTGGACACTCTGCTGTGCTTCCTCCCATGCCCCGATCCCCCGCCTTCCACTCCCTCGCCACTACCTAATCCGCCACCAGAACCACCCGTCTCTCCTCCCACTCGATCTGCAACAACTCCGGAAGCACTAACGACGGAAGCAGAAGCAGAAGCACCAGCATTGGACGACGCAGCAGCTGCAGCAGCAGCGAGCGCGCCAGATTGAAGAGAGGCTCCGCCCGCACTCTTCCGTGGCGCAGACTTTTGCGGCGCGTCAAGAAACGAGTCAGATCGAAGCGAGTGGCCGCTTGCATTCCTCCGTGGCCCCGACGCCCTGCTCTCGTGTCTCCCTCCTGCTGCTGCTCGACCTGTCTCTGGGTTCCCATTCGGCCCAGGATGGTGAGAACCCGAGGTTACCACTCTCTGCTGCTCCATACACGATATACGTCGAATGCCAGATTACGTCCGAATGCCAGATTACGTCCGAATGCCAGATTACGCCCGAATGCCAGATTACGTCCGAATGCCAGATTACGCCCGAATGCCAGATTCCGTCCGAATGCCGGATTACGCCCGAATGCCAGAGTACGCCCGAATGCCAGATTACGTCCGAATGCCAAATTCCGTCCGAATGCCGGATTACGCCCGAATGCCAGAGTACGCCCAAATGCCAGATTACGTCCGAATGCCAGATTCCGTCCGAATGCCAGATTACGTCCAAATGCCAGATTACGCGAAGTCTAAGTCTCCAAAACAGCGAGTTGAGTAGCCTAACGGATCAGACACACCAACTGGTTTGAGCAGATCGCGAAACTAGTTGCAGCAGGAAACTGAAACGAAGACTTACGGACGGGGAAACTTGGCTAACCTCTATGTATGATCCACAAACGAGCGGCTGCAAGATAGCTAATATCTACAACCGCCCACTTTTGAAGAAATCACTTTTGAGATTTCTCAAAAATGTTAATGCGTTTACCCACTCACGATACCCTGTATCCTACGAGCTTCTACTACTTATGGCATGCTAATACCTACAATCTGGTACTACTCCGCATTAAGATATTATCTGGTATAAGATATCCATTACTAAAGCCACGCTCCTAATCTACATTGCGCTTTTAAAGATCGAATAACATACCCTCGTCCGACTCCTTGCGGTTGACCGCGTCCGGCTGCCGGAACGGCAGCTGAACCGGCAGCTGAACCGGCAGATGAGCCGTCAGCTGAGCTCTGACAGCTAACTACGGGGCTGGGCCCCTTCCCTCCTTGCGGAACCCCCTGCTGGCGCGGGCCGCTCGTCCCGCCTTCGCTTTTAATCCAGCAATGAAAACGAATGGTGAATAACGAAAAGAACTCGGATCAAGGGACCAGAAAAATAATACGGAAAATACGATCAGTGAACAGGCTGGGGTAGTTGAAGGAGCCAGCAATTTTCGAGGTTCGCAGGAAATGAATTCACAAGCAGATTGGGGTTCGCAGGATGAAAGGACAAGCAGGTTGGTTGGGTTGGGAGAAGGGGAAATGGGGTGGGAAAGATGGGGGGGGGTAATCTGGAAGGGGACACCTTGGTTGGTGGGAGTCGGGATGAGTCTGGCGCACGAGTTCCATCACTTGGCTACGGGCGGTCACCTCGGGCCGAACAATATCCCCCTTTTTAGGGTATGAGCACTATCCCCTTAGTGTCTAAACGAAATTCGAACAGATATGTTTTGGGTGGCAACATTGCTCATTGTCTCACACCCGATTCTACCATTTAACAAGCAACAATAGCAACCTCTCCACCATGGCTCTTCACAGAAACTTTAGCAGCCAGAATTTCAGGCTCAACATTATCGGTTTCAACATCTGGGCATATTATCGGTGTTACGATCCAAATGGAGACCTTGCCTGAATCAGCCTCAGGGTTAGTTGCAGAGAGTTGTTGTAGCGGAAGTAATTGACTCCTAGTCTCAGAGTTAGCGGAATGGTCATGACTGGAAATATGGGAGATAAAAATGCTAAAACTAGAAATTGTTGTACTCCCATAGCCCTATTCACTATAGCCTATCAATATAATGCACAATACTTGACACACCCCCATAGGCTAAGTGAGGGGCATCAAAACAAGCAAAGGAAACAAAGGGTCCCAAGACTAGTCAAGAGAAACAACAAGGCAACGCTCAGAGTGGATCTCAAGATCACCACACATTGCAAGCACAAGCGAACGGCTACAAGGCCAGTTCAAGTGTTCACAAATATGTATAGATGCAAGGACAAGTAGAGCAAGCAACAAGAAACAATGCTACAGCAACCTAGCACCACTGTCAACAAGGCCTAACTGCATACAGAACCAGTGGTGGTCACTAGGCGCTAGGGCTTTGGTGAAGATGTCTGCAGTGTTGGCCTCTGAGGCCACGAAGTCCAAGCGTGCCTGGCCGCGTCGCTGCAACTCTCGCAAGAGAAAGTACCTCACGTCAATGTGCTTTACTCTGCTGTCCATTCGAGGCTCTCGACATAGGAGGATCATGACCTTAGTGCAGCGAACAAGCTGGGAAAACAGCGAGGCCACTCACCAAGGCCGGCGAGCAAGAAGGTCAACCAGCGAAGCTCTTGCGCAGCCATGGCACCAGCGTAGATCTCTACATCTGCACTAGACGAAGCCACAGACGACGACCGCGTAGACCGCCACGAGACAGCTCTAGCGCCAAAGCTGAAGCAGTACCCCTGAGTGGACCTCTGTGTCTCCACAACGTCGGCGTAGGAAGAGTCGCAGTGACAGGTCAGAACAATTGGCTGTCTCCCTCCAAGCACAAGCCCCATGCCCGATGTAGTCGCCAGGTACTTTGCCACCCTCACAGCAACTATTAAGTGAACAGGACGGTGTTTCCCTATCGCAACAAAGCGAGAGAGGACGCTGCGAGGAAAGGCGAGGGCCGAACGAGTACACGTCATCAGGTACATCAGGCAGCCCACAAGCTATGCTGCTAGGAACGGCCGGAGCGAGGAGCGAGCGAAGTTAGGAGCGTATGGAGCGCGGAGCGTGTGGAGCTAGGAGCACTGATGAACGAACGAGGGGAGCGAGGAGCGAGCAAAGCTAGGAGCGAGTGGAGCTAGAAGCGAGCGGAGCTAGGAGCGCCAGCGTGAAAATGGATGGTCGAACCTAGGAGTAGTAGAGCAAGTAGAAGGCTAGGCTAGGAGAGAGGAGAAAGCGGAGCAAAGACCAACCCTAAATTCTAACCGGAGCGTGAGAGAAGGATGAAATGCTAGAAGCACCTTAGAAAGAGGAGGAGCGGCCTCTAGCCGCGATAGAGCAGAGCACTAAGAGCAGGAATGGTAGAAAACATGGAAACCTATAGTGGGAAACCAGGTAAGGCATTATGGAGGGCCTAGGCGCGCTAGGGAGGGGCGCTCGCCTCTGGCAACTGCAGTGGCGTGAGCACGGTCAGGCAAGGGGCGCTCGCGCTGGTCTAGGGCGGGGAACACACTGCTGGGCTGGCGGGCGCCCTTGTCCGACTGGCGAGCACGCTGGTCTAGCTGGAATGCGCGATGGTCAGGCAAGGGTGCGCGCGCGGACTAGGCGAAAGGCGTGCGCTGGCCATGGGAGGGGCGCGTGTGGATTCGGCTGGGGCGCGCGCTTCTCTAATAGGGGCGCGCGCTGTTTTGGTGGGTGCGCGCGCTTCTCTTGTAGGGGCGAGCACTTCTCTGACAAGTGCGCGCGTTCTCTGGCAGGGGCGCGCGCTACTCTGGCAGGGGCGCGCAAAGCCCTGGTTGGGGGCGGTTGGGAGTGGAGGATGTGCTACGGAGGTAGGGGAGGGCGTGCTACGGAGTTAACAAGCTAGAACGGAGGTAGGAAGCCTAGAACTAACCTTGCGTGGTACCATCTCAGAGTTAGCAGAATGGTCATGACTGGAAAGATGGGAGATAGAAATGCTAAACCTAGAAAGTGTTGTACTCCTTATAGCCCTATTCACTATAGCCTATCATCAAAATGTATAAGATATAACACCTAGTCAGAGTGCCTGTAAAATGACAGAAGTGACTACAACAAAGATACATGCGTTTCCCGCCTTTTCCCATTCAAATATCTTCTGCCAGCATTGGTCTTCATCTGACAACTGTCTTCGTCGATTCGACTTGACCGACTCCTCGACTTTGTCCTTGGTTCGTTAGTGCTGACACAAATTTTCTTCACTCAACTCCTTGTCGTAACAGCCCCCTTCATCCCTGGGCGTAGCAAGCAGGTCCTAACTTGATTGACCACTCCGGTGAGGTTGGCGCTGTGCTGATACTGCTGACGTAGCGGTCGCTTGGTGAGGAAGTCTGCTGCCATGTCAGTGGAGGGGCAATGCCGTATTCCCCCGCACATAAGACCCGACGAAAAGAAAGTCCCATAAGACTCTATCGCGGAAGAGATTCCTTTATAGCGAGTTAAAAGTGAGAGGACCCCCCCTTTGAAGGTAAAGTATATAAGACCCCTTTTTGCTGTATAACGCACTGTTTTAACACGTTTTTTCTTGTTCGCGCGTCACATGATAGAGGGAATGTTTCAAATTCTGACAGATCCAGCGCGTCAGACTTGAAATCTGACACATTTGACACATCGAGCACGTCATATCGCAAAAAAACTATACTTTCTGTCAAATGTTATATCTGCTACAGTTTGTTTAGGCTGTAGTGGGGTAGTTACTATGGGGTACAGTAAGTTTAGGGTTTCCTACTTGTGCCCAACTCTTTCCTAGTTCAACCACTCTTGTTCATTCTGACATGGTATCACGAGCCTAGGTTGCCACCTAGGACCGCTTACTACTACGGGCCCACTATTCCGCTAGAAACGCCCTCGTGCGCCCTACCTTGCGTGCGCCCTCGTGCGCCTTTCTCTGCTCGTGCGGCCTCGTGCGCCTTCTTCTGCTAGTGCGCCCTCGCGCGCCCCGCCCTTCGTTCTGCCTGCGCGCCGTCCTGCAGCCCTCGCGCTGCCTCCTGCTGCCCTAGGCCAGTGCGCCGCCCCTGCAAGCTAGTAAGGCCCTCGAGCCGCCCCTGCAGGTCCGTCAGGCCCCCGAGCCGCCTCTGCAGGCCCGTCAGGCCCCCGAGCCGCCTCTGCAGGCCCGTCAGGCCCGAGAGCCGCCCCTGCAGGCCCGTCAGGTCGGCGCGCTGCCCCTGCAGGACCACGCCGCCCTGCGCGCAGCTTCTGCCCGACCGCGCGCCGCCCCTGCAGGCCCTCGCCACCCGCACGCAGCCTCTGCAGGCCCGTCAGGCCAGCGCGCGACCCCGTCAGGTCGCTGTCGCGGCCCCGTCAGGCCGCAGTCGCGGCCCCGCCTTGTCGCTGACGCGGCCCCACCCTGCCGCGGTCGCGGCCCCGCCCTGCCGCCGACGCGGACGCGGCCCCGCCCTGCCGTGACGCGGCCCCGCC